CACACACACACGCCCACACACATTAAAGACAGAGACTCAAAAAGAGGATTTTCTGCAGCAGAAGGAAATCTGTTGCTTTTTTAAAAAGACCTGAAGTCTCATAGCTCACAAGTAAAATGTCAGAGTCCAAGTGAGAAAAAGTGCGGGGGGACGTGAAACTGGAAGAATAGAAATATCTCAGGACACACACACATGCACACACACACACACACACACAGCAGTGACGACAGCTGCAGATCAGTGAAGTCAAACCCAATAAAACCTCCACACTTGAAGTCGCTGGTCATGAAGCGTCGTAAAGATCAGGAGAAGCAGCAGGTGGAGATTAACTCACAGTTTCAAACGTTGAAAACAACTGTGGTGCAAATACAACTGTGCTTTTGTTCTGTCTGGAGCAAAGGACTCCGTCGACAAGTGACGTTATTTCAATTAGAGCCGACAGAGAACAAGAAACGAAAATATTTTCCTCTGTTCCTGCTGTTTTCAAGACTGAGTTAATGAGTGAATTATAAAAACCGGTTGGATAAAACCGAGGCTGTGGCCTTTTCCTCCTCGTTGTTGACAGCGAGCGGGACAAAGGTGCCGTTGAGGCGTCCAAACAGGAGGCGGATTCTCTGACACACACACAGTTGTGTTGTTGTTGTGCGCAGCCTGGCAGAGCTCATGGGTTCGTGTCACCGCTGATGTCAAGAAAAAACAACTGGAACGACCTGAACACGTCCCCCCCCCCCCCCCCGACCCCCTAAATAACAATGGCCCCCAAAGACCCCCATCTGAGAAAAGGGTTTTAAACACTAAAGAAGTAAAGAAGTGAACAACAGCCTGTTCTTCATCTGCGAAGGTCACCTCCTCCTGCAGGAGAGAACTTCGTCTAATCTCGTGAGGAGAAACACTCGATAACGTTGAGCTCCTGTTTGTTCTTGATGTTTGTGCTGAAACCAGTGAGTCATTATAAAGTCAAGATGAAATGTTCTGCATGAAATACTGAGCCGCTCCTTTATGTATTCATTCACAACCCCAGCTAACGATCAACCGCTGCTCTACTGTGTGTGTGTGTGTGTGTGTGTGTGTGTGTGTGTGTGTGTGTGTTACCTGTTGCAGCATCTCCTCAGTGGAGGCCAGTTTCTGCCGGTGTTCCTCCAGAGAACTTTCTAGGTCTCGGATTTTCTCGCCCTGTGCCTCCACCTGGTCGGTCAGAACGCTCACCTGATGGGTGACACAGTCACATGCTCTGTCAGGACATCGACACGCTCGATGCTAAATAAGAGAACAGAATTACACCTGAAGCCAAGATCACACTAATCATTGGAAATACAGTATAGACACTCAAAACTCACAATCCTGGATCCACCCTCTGATCCAGATCTGCACCAACACACACACACACACACACACA